AGCGACATGCTACAGTAGATTTACAAAGTGTAAGTAATTCACAGCTCTGCAACTTATCAGAATAACTGATAATCAAAGTCCATAACTCTTATTTTCTCCCCTGAGCCATCTAACACCCAAATTCTTGTTACAATGACTAGCCTGAAGCAATCTGCTTAGTTTCTTTACTTCTTCACCTGCTACCTTATTATTTCTTTTACAAACACAAGCACATCATTTCTACAATGTCATATGAGTGAATCAGCTCTGAAGGATAGAGAGATGTCATAGAGACAGTTGGCAGAATGATTTATGAGGAACAGAAGGACATGAATGATCCTCTGAGTAGTGAGAATGAGAAGGTTGTGGTAAGTGCCAAATAGTGCAAAACTAATACAATATGCTGGACATTAACACTAATTTGTACTTTTAAATTTATTAGTACATTTTTTGAGTAAAAGGGTGTTTCACCTGTAGCTTTTTTCTAAAGGTGCATGACTGTGCTGCTTTAAGTAAAAATGCTTTATTATCAGGCTGCATATTGTGATGTGTTTGGAATGGGTATCCCACCTCATAAAAGGAATTCTTCTTAATATAATGCAGCATAATTCATAGAAATGTGAAAAACAAAGCTATTTAAGCTCATGTTGCCCCCCATAAAGGCTCTGTCTGCACTAATGAAGATTCACCTTCTCTACTTCTATGTGATAAGAGACAGCAGAAGCTCATTGGGTATACCATATAGATATACTGTATGTGTCTTATCATAAGTGAGACACATTTTTTATTTACATAATGGGAATTGATATTTCACAAAATACACATTATTCTTCCCTTTGGACTCATGTGATGAATATTTCAAATTAACCCAACATATGCACACAGGTAAGTAAACAGGAAGAGTTGTGCAAAACATTTCTTTGATTTTATTTTGAAAGCAAGGAAATCTATGTAAAATATTACATTACACTTTACAACTGGAACAGCAAAAACAGAATACATTTATCAACAATTTAAAAAAATGTTTGCAGTAAGCTGAAAGTTTATACCTGTGTTTACTGTATTTAAGATGATGTAGAAGCATTAAATTCCTTTGTGTTTGTGCTTCACTCAGCACACTATAGACTGAATTAGCCAACAAGCCAAATGATTGCTTTGCTTGATTTTTTTTATATTTTTTTTATGATGCACTCAAAATGCTTTGAGCTGTTTAAATTATTAATATCCATCTGTGTTCTCTTTAATATTTGTCTATTAACAGACAAATGCACCTGCATGAGCAAAAGCTTTGGCTATTCTGTTCACCATCCCTCCACCAAAAAAAGAAGAAAAAAACAAAACAACCCCCCGTCCTTACACATCCATCTCATCCCTACCTCTATCTGAGAGGCTGTCAGTGGTACCTTGTTGTATTTTTAATGTCTCTTCCTTTTCTGGCAGTGTATAATAAATGTTTGATACAACCTCCCATGGCCTTTGGAGAACCCCAGCCCACCAGGGCACATAGGCCCTAAAATATTCACACTCAGCAGCTTGCACTACAACGTCAATAACACAGCAGCAGTGACACCCATCCGTCTTTCCTCACATCACAGAGAGGAAAAGCTGCAGAAATATTCAATATCTTTACCTACCTACTGTTTGGTTATAACATCCAAGTGTTACATGGTGCTGGCACTCAAACACCATTGCTGGGACTAAGCACCACCTCTAACCACAAGATAGATATAGTAGCCTTGCATTGTGGAAAACCTTTGCACAAATCCCAGTTAAACAGCCTAAGGCATAATTTCATCCTGCTGATTCCCCAGATCTCAGTCTGATCAAATATCCGTGTTAAGCTTCATAATATGCATGATTAACGAAAGCAGAATTCTTCCTCTTTGTGGATATCAGAAACAAACATAAAAACAACAGCTAATTTAGGAGGTTATGGGATACTCCAACACAAAACTCTTAGTCAGGGAATCATGGTTTTTACATTTCTTCCACATTTCAAAATATGTTGGAGTATTCCCCTATGACTACACCTTCATTTTCTAAGTCTTGTTACATATTCCTATTGTAAGGTTTGGTGTAGGAAATATAAATATACTTTAATTTACCCTTAATTGTAGCTTGGTTTTATATGTGTCCGTATTCATGTATTTTAAAATAGATTAATAATGTGGAGTACCTCTCTCATCTATCTTCGATCTTTTTGTTTTGTTCTTTGTTGTTGTTGTTTTAAACCATTCACATTGTCCTCTGAGGAACACTAAGAAACGTTTATGTCAAAATCAAAGGCTTGAATTTCACTGATTTTACCATCCACAGAGGGAAAAAACAACACACACATTCTTGTCTTGCTATATGTAGTGAGGACCATGTGGTGACTCCCATTGACTTCCATTGATTTTTTGTCATTTTCATCCCTTTCTATGCTCTAACTCTGACAATATCCCTTAACCTAATCCTAATCATTACCAGTGCATATCTCACCCTCAACTAGATTATCACCTTAGTCCTAAACCTAACAGTTAGGTAAATAGGAAGTGAGGACCAGCAAAATGTCCTCACTTTGGCAGAAACTGTCTTCAATTTGACATTAAAATCTGAAAAATGGTCCACACTCTGATACCCAGAAAGACAGGAGTAAAAATACCCACCCCGTCCACACACACACACACACACACACACCAACATGCACTCACATACTTCCTGTCTGATAAAACATGACAGCAAGGGAGCCTGTGATCTCAGTCCTTTTCATTTGCAATTCATTGTAGTCGTCCATCTTTAACCTCCTCTGTGATCAGATGTTTCTTTCATATAAACACTTGTTGGGTGATGGGAGGAAGCTTTCCACAATCAAAGACGCTCTCAAAGCGCTTTTCTCTCAGAGATTTAACCGCAATCCATATATCTGTGTGTTAGTTAAAATACCAAAAGACAAATGACAGCACAAAAACCCTAATTAAACAGAACTTTTTAACAATATACAGTACATTAACCTGGAAAAGTTGTCATATTCATTTCATCCCCCATATTTTTTTCATGTTTTAGACCACAAACTCAGTCAATCTAATTTAGATCACGTGCCACCAAAAAGTAGTGTATCGTAATAATATAGAAAATAAAAGATATAGTAAATAAAAGTTGTTTAGTGTGCATGTGTATGCAGCCCCCATTACTCTGATATCTTAGATTGAATGCACACTAGCCTCATCTTGCCTTCCCTGATAAATTTAGTCTAGAACCACAGTCGGGTACACACACAGATAACACACACATCATCATTAAAAAAAAACGATCAAATACTGGTGCAAGCATCATGCTGTGGGGATGGTTTTGTTTAGCAGGAGCTGGTATGCTGCTCAGAGCCGATGGATCGATGAATGGAGCAAAAACCTATTGAAGTTTAAGGTCTGCAACTTTTCAAAATTTGCAAAATGGGTTCAGATAATGTAAATAGTTTTTTGGATAAAGAAAATATGGCATAAAATGCAGTATAATTGCATAAAAACTGTAACCATACAGAAATAACGAACATGCAGCTTTTAATGTTGTGAAGGATGTTTTACAAGCAATTAAATTAACATTAGTAACCAATTTCTTGCTGTTTATAGTAAGAAAGTTTCTATGGATTAAACTAGAAGTCCCACAAATTCAATTTGCTGCCGTGGCTATATTTAAGCCAGTTATGCTTTTTTATTCCAGACTTAGGAATTTAGACTTACCTTGATGACGCAAACAATGATCTGAATATAGCTTTAATGGTTTGTTTGTTTATTTTTGT